AGAAAAGTTTTTTTTTTTAAAAAAAAAACATTAGAGATAAATTTTTGAAAATGTAGTTAATAAATATATTTTTAGAGATAATGTAGGTTCATGTCAAAATATTTACTTTTTGAGACAAAATTTAATCCTAAAAAGATAATAATTTATTATTAAATGTTAAATTTTGTCGTTAAAAATATAATATTAACATGTTTGATGATTAAAATATTTCATCTCTAAAAAAATTTTATGGTCTCTAAAAATTTATCTCTAAAATGTTTATTTCTTGAATGTAACTAATCAAAATAGAACCCACGAGGCCCAAAAAATCATGCCCCACGACAATAATTTTGCTTGTTGAAGCCTAAATATTGGGCCCAAATACAAATTCCAGTAACCTTTGAAGGCCCTAAGTTTCAGCCTCTTTAAATGGCCAGAAATTAATCCATTTCATTACCCAAAATTTCATCATAGAAAACCTACAATGTCTCCACTTTAGGGCCAACATGTCAACATCTCATAGCCCATTATTAACATCTATTAAGACCTCAACGCAAAAGTTTCCTAGGCCCAATGTTGCTGCCACAGAATTAGTAACCAAAGAGGGTACATTTTTGTACATTTATTTTTTAAAGATTTTTTCATAAATATTTTATTTTTTAAATGAATCTGAATTAAGTAGACTGAAAAAGTAATTTTTTATTAAATTATTAGAAATTATAATAAATAATTAAGAATTTATAATTAATTGTGATTTAATTGAGTTAATGTTATAAATTAAAAACTAGTATATCAGAGAAAAAAACAAAAAACAAAAAATGCATAGGATTAAAGGTATTGTAGTTATTTCACATATGTAACTTATGAAATTAATAGTTGCACTTAGGCTTCGTTTGGCAAGTTAACTGTAACGCCCTCAAAATAAACTCATAATTATACATTCATAATACACGAAAGAGATATCATATTCTCAACATCAGAGTATTCTTACAAAAGATATTACATGTTGACAACAACAATAAACGCCTTATAGGCTTACAACTTTCCAAGTCAACACTTGGGTTCAACAAAAGTAGAGTTCTAACTCTTTACACAAAATAAGTCATTGGCTTGATATACATGTAATACAAAAGATAATCACAAAAAGATAAGCTTTCAACTTCTACAACCTCCCAAGCTACATCATTGGAGGCGGCATTTCACCTGTACCTAAAAATGATGTCCCATATAGGGTGAGCCAACGCCCAATAGAGATCTGCTAAACGTAATATGAGTAATAACTAAAACACAAGCATTTAATAAATGTTACCACTTATAAATCAACTTACAACATTACCTAGTTCCGTGACAAATATGTTTATGTTTCATTTCATTTTCCTTTACTTAACCAATTTTCAATTTATGAACATGGCAAACAATTTAATGATACTACAACTCATATCAGAACACTTCATTTTCAAATGAGTTACAACTCACATCAACAATACTTCAATTTCAAATGGGATAACATCTCATAATAAAACACTTCCATACTTCACAAATGATACACAGGTTTGTTGTATCAATGGAATCCATCCCCTATCTCATTCCAAATAACATCCGGTTTAGGAGTTCATCCCCTATCTCCTCCCAAACTGTAGAGTACATCCTCTATCTCCTCCCAAATAACATCCGCTTTAGAAGTCCATCCCCTATCTCCTCCCACACAATACAATGTATATAAAACACTTATCATATACAAGATCAATCAATACGCATATTCGATGTATTATTCCAACTATCACATCTAATGACATATTCAACGTGATTAGTTTCAGTTCACCTAATCATCATGCAGTGTCTACAACAATCAAGACTATCCTCCACCGATAGCCCAAAGTAATTATTTCTAAACAGATAATAAATGCATCAACAAATAAATTAACAACATTTTCAAAAGTGAGTGATTAATCAATCAAACTCTACCATTCTTCCTCATAACTTCTCAATTTCACTATTTCCAAGCCAATTTCATTATTTCAAATGAAAGTCATTAATTACACTAATGACACAATAAAATCCAAATATGGCATTCTTCCCACTTTCTTAATATTGACCTAAAGGTCCAAATATCGTTAATAAATGTTCACAACCTCATTTTAAGACCCATATACACATATATTGTACAAAGGAACAAAATCCCTCTTTTCAATATTTCAAACCTCAAACTCTAACTTCCCAAATCAAACCATTTATACAAAATGCCCAACATTTATGTTAAAGATCGTAAAAATGAATAGTTATTCCTACCTCAAATGGAGAGACCCAAAGGTGATGATGAAGAAATTCAAAATGCTCCAAAACTAAAGATTTTCAGATTGAAATGTAGCCCAAGCCAAGCTCTACACTTTTTGCAAAGGAATTAAGGGAGAAGATCACTCAAGCTAGATGATTTCTTAGAGAGAAGTTGTATTTTAGAGAGAAGAGCTCTCAAATGAGGGTTTTGAAAAGGTAGAGAGAGAGAGAATGCCGAAAAAGTGATCAAAAAAACTGTTTTTCGGACTGATATACAAACAGGTCCGCTCAAGCGTGGAACGCCCCGCTCAAGCGTCAAAAGCGCCACTCGAGCGCCGGATGTACACTTCCAGAAGTTTTGCAATCGATGGTCCTCGCTCGACCGTGAAAGTAGACGCTCGAGCGTTCGATGACCTGCAGAACAAAATATTGGAAGACGAGTAATCACGTTCGAGTGTCAAAATGCCCGCTCGAGCGGAGAAGCAAAAACAAAGGCCCGCTCAAACATCAAGAGCCCCGCTCGAGCGTGAAGGCCAAAATCTAGGCATCAACTTTTGGTTTATAAACACAACCAACCTGTGTCCCAACCTGCCCAACATAACCTAAGACTCAAACACAAAGAGTAAATGATAGAAATGAGAATAAGACAACGACCACATCCACATAACTGAGTTCGGAATACAATTAAACAATGAAGGGAAAATCGAGATCGCTATATTAATATTTTAGCCAAAAAGTCAAAAAGTTACTAAAAAAGCCAAAAAGCCTATAACTTATACAAAAAAGTCAAAGATTCCATTTTTTCTTTTTTTTTTGCACATATTTTCGTAAAAAAAAAAAAGTCACCCCAAACATACTAGTTTTTTTTACCTCATATTTTAGCAAAAAAGCAAAAAAGTTACTAAAATATTCTGTTCCCAAACGAGATCTTAGTCTAAATTGATGTTAGAATTTTTTGATTATATTTGAACCAGAGTGTAACTTTGAACTAAAACTTGAAAGAGTGAATATATTCATTGACTAAAAAAATACTTAGGCCTGGTTTGGAAACTTTAAAAAAAGTCAAAAAGTTATAAAAAAAGTTAAAAAGTTATTACTATTCATAAAAAAATAAAAATAAAAATTAATATCCATAATATTAAAATACAAATCAACTTCACGGCACTCTAGGTACTAACGTGAAAGCAAAGGCAGTGAAAGGGGAAAAAAAAAATTATATGTGTATATTCACTAAGTTAGATGGTAAAGTTGGGCTTGTGGGGGCCTATCATGGGTCCCGTTTTGATAATCCGAACCGTTTAATATTTAGAACTCGTCTAGTACTATATGCTTGTAGACAGTTACGTCTATTGGATATCACTAACTACATGATCAAATCAGTTTAATATGAAAAATGGATGGTGTTATAGTTAACAGTTGACAAAAAAAACTAACACAATCAGATAGTTATCGATATTTAATCAAAGTAATTTTTTACAAACATATAATACTCGACGAGTTCTACATATTGAACTATTCCGATTAGAAAAAGGGACCCGTAGTGGGCCTCCACGGGTCAACAACACCGTCAAATTAAAGTCCGAAAAGGAAACAATCTTTTCCCATCTCCTACTCAGCCGACTGCACTGCCCAACCAATACGACCTACTTTACTAACTTATTCTATACACTTATTTATACAATTTTTTAATATACATTTTTTCATAAAAAGTCAAAAAGTTAAGTTAAACATTCATATTTTTTCTTCAACTTTTTAGTCTAAAAAGACAAAAGGTACACTTATTTAAGACACCACAAACAACCCCTTAATAGTAAAAAGCTATAAATAAACTTTCAAATTTTTAATTCCAACAAAATAAACTTTAAGAGAATGGGTCAGATTTGGCCCGTCTGTCTGCTTATGTATATATATATATTTCTAAATGTTTTAGTTTAATTCTAAACTAGATTTATAGCTAGAAAATCATAAATCAAATCGTGAAGTATATGTCTATTTTGACAACACGGTTAAAAGCTAACTTTTTAATTTTTTGATTTTTTTTTGAATCATATTACCTTTACACCTTTTTGCATGTTTTAAAAAAAAGACCCAAAAAAAGTTAAAAATAAACTTTTAAAATACTTATCAAAATAGGTCATAATTTGTTTATTTTAAAAATTAGAACCAAACCGTACATTAAAAAAAATAAATCCAAAACCATTTGATTTGGTCACAATCGGGCCAATTTGCTATTTTTGAATTTTTTTTCTCAACTCTAATTGGGAGTGATCATTTTTCCTTTAAGGTCTATTTTGAAAACGAACTATTTTAATAATTTTTTGACTTTTAAAAAAAAATGTATAAAAAAATAGAAAGAGTGATTTGATAACATATAATAATTTTTTAATTAAAACATATAAATTTTAGTGTAAATTTTGACCGTGAACCAAAAACCCCCCCAAAAAAAATCCCAACCTACTGTTTACCGATCCAAACCTTGACGGGTCAGGACAACATAGTCTGACCCGACCCACCTAAAACCCTAATTACAAAAAGTAGAATCCACAAAAACTAACCTTTATTCTGCACTCTCACATATTGCCACCACCACAAGTGTATATACATAAACATGCATGCATACATACATACATACATACACATATTATCGTAATTTTTATATTATTTTCTCTTTCTTTCTTTTTTATTTTTTTATTATTAATATTTTTCTATAATAGAAAGAGGTGAGAAGGAGCAAGCTTTTGTTTTCATATCTCTCTTCAATTCAATCTGTTCTTCAATAAAAACGCACAAAAATACAATAATTATTACGTAGATATATAAATAATTATTGTAATTTATTTTATTTGCTTCTCTGCCTTGTTGCTCCTTGGACCTCAAATCTCTATCTCTCCTCTTTCTCCTCTCTCTCTCTCTCTCTCTCTCTCCCTCTCTAGACCTCAATTAGAGCTTCATCTCACCATTTACGAAGCTCCGTTTCGTTCTTTTCAGGTTTGTTTTCTCATTCGATCTATGCATTTTTACTGCTTGTGGTTTGACATTTGTGAATTGTTTCTTTGTATTCGCGATCGAGTTTGGGTGTTTTAGGGTTTTTTTTTTTTTTGGGCGATCCTGATGGATTGTTCGGCTATCGATTGATGAGAGTTTCATCGAATTGGGTTTATGCACATGGTTTTTTGTTTGTTGAGTTTCATCGAATTGGGTTAATTTTTAATCTTTTTTTGCGTGTTGAATTCGTTGTAGAGTTTGATTTTATGCGTAGTTCGAAAATTAAGAATTAGGGTTTATTGAAATTTTTTGTTTTTGGACGTGGGTTTTGGGTCTTTATCCATTTTGGAAGGTGGGTTTGAGAAATTATTGCTGAATTGAAAATGTGTGCACTTGAGGAGATCTTTCAATTGTTCTGAGAAAGGTGACATTTTTATATCAACTTATGGTTCATTTTTGGATAAGATATCATTATTGAGAAGGATGAAGATACACATGCAGTTTTTTTTTATTTTTATTTTTATTTTAATCTGTTGCATTTGTTTTGTTTTGTTTTTTTTTAAACTTTTCTTCTAATGGGGTTTACTTCCTGACTAATGTGTGAAGTTGAAGGGTGTGGAGGGAGCAGTGGAGTGGGAAATGGCTGGGACTGCGAGTGAGGAATCTGGAGTTAGAAGGTCTTTCGAGGAGATTTCAAGTGTGCAGCAGCGTTGCCAATCTGGGGAAGCATTGGTGGAATGGCGGTCCTCTGAGCAGTTGGAAAATGGAACCCCGTCAACTTCTCCCCCTTATTGGGACACTGACGACGACGATGACTGTGGTATGTTGTTTGTCCGCATCAATCTTTTGCACTCCATGTTTCTTTGTTATTTGCTTGTCCTTGTAAGGTGTTAAAAAACAATAACGAGAGCGATCATAGTTGTGATATGTATTTTTTTACTTGTTTTTGGTAGGGGTGTAAACTGTTCAGTATGGTCATTGTTAAGAGTATATTTAGCGCCGAACCGATCCTTTCGGTTTTTATGATTGAGAAATCAATATAGATCGTATGCTACAGTTCAGTTTTATTGGTTTTGTTGGTTTGATGTAGAATAGAAATTTATATGAAATATTGAAAAGTTTTATAGTAGATTTTAGAATTTTACATTGAAAATAAATGAAAAAAATATATGAAAATTGCTCTATAAATATTTTTCTCCTTAATTTTATCACAAAAGTGTATTATATTAGTTACTTCTCATATAATATTCAAGAAATTATAATATAAAAATATTTAAATATAATATTCGGTTGGTTCGGTTTGTATCGGTATAAAAAGTTTCAAAACTGAAGCAAACCGTATGTTATGAAAAATAGACCAAAAACTAAAATTTCAGTTGGTTTTATCAGTTTTTCTTACATCCCTAGTTATTGGTATTGGTATTGGTATTGGGTTTGGGTTTGACTTGTTGAGTAATTTAGTAGGGAATCAAAGCTGAATATATTGTTCACTGAAATTCTTGTACATTTTGCTGTTTCTGTACTTGGTGTGATGTGAAGTTTTGAGGTAAGAATTGGCAAACTTGTGGAGAATCATGCTTGGTTGTGGGGGACCAGACCGTACAATAGCTTGAGGTTCCATTAAGATCCAGTTTACAGTCACAAAGTCAGTTTTGATCTGCAAGTAGCTAGTTCTTGTAAATTATGTCTGGTCATGCTAGATAGCCCTCATCATCCATGTTATTGGAGTTTCTCATTCTGACATAATAGAGAAGCAACGATAAACAAACAAACGAACATAAAAGTTATGAAACCTAATTTTGATAGAGGGAGAAATCAAAAAGTTTATTGCAAGTGTTGGCTGAGGTAGATGATGTTTCAAGGAAAAAAAGGGTTTATGCCAAGGTAGTGACTGATGCAACTGAATTGTCTTTCATTTTGTTCACATCCTTAAAGTGATCAAAGTGAATTTTTAACACTTTTTTGCTACATGCAAAATATGGTTTTCTTTAAAGCTACTTTTATTCCTGGAAGTTTGTCCATGTCTTCATGATCTGAAGCTTGGAAAACAGGCTAGTGCTGATGGAGGCCAAACTAAGATGCCTTTTCTAGCAAGTTGCCTGCTAAAGATGGGTAATTGTAAACTGCTATCAATTATTGTGGGAAAAATCATACATGAGTGAATTTTAGATGGAATTTTCTTGGTACTCAGACCTGCGTAACGACCGTGTGCGTATTTGACCCCTTCACGCAGCTGCTTGTGTCAAAATTCTGGGTGGTGGTGAATTAAATGTTTGTTAATATCTGATGTATGCTTTAAATGTAGACAAGATTGGGATTAAATTAGATGAGTACTATCCTTGGTGCTTTTGTTTATATACAAGCTGTCATGCTTCAAGGGATGCTAGCTGTTAGTCAAATGTTTACCTAATAAGCTATAGGTGAGGGGCTATCGTACATGAACTTTTTCTAAATGTATGAAGTATCCGTGTTGGACACTTACTTACACTTGGGTAAGGATATGTGCACTATGGCTCTTTGTAACAAATGCTAAAAAACCATATTTTTTCCAACTATTTTTATCTATAATGGTTTTTTTTTTATTTATAATTTTTTTATCAAAAGTTACGCTTTTTTGGTCCTAGTTTAGATAAGTTCCTTGAAGACCAAAAAACCATTTTTTTGCCTTTTTTTTCTTCTTCTTCTTCTTCTTTAGTGGACATGTTGAAATTTATTTTTTATTTTTAGGGTGTTCTAGTCTTGTAGGAACTTTAAAGTGAACTTTTTTGGAGAAAAATACAGAAAGTTCAATAAAAAACAAAGAGAAGGTAACAAAAATGTTGCTAAAAAAAGCAATTGCCAAAACTCGAAGGGGTTGGCTTGGTGGCAAGGCCTTGGGTCTTGGGGTGTACTCCCTCCAAGGTTCAAGGATCGAAACTTCTTAGGTGACAATTCGTTGGGGCCATCGGACTAGGGGAAAACCCTTGAATTAACAGGGTGCACTTGTGAAAAACTCTTTGTTGAGGGCCTGTGCATCCGTGAGGATTGGTCAGGCTTTGATCCGGATACCCCAGTGCCAATCAAAAAATTAAAAAAAATAAAATAAAGAAGCAATTGCTAAAGCAGCCTAGCAAGCATCCTTAGTTATTTGAGTTTACCCTAAAACTATCCATGAAACTCCCATATTATGCATGGATGGGTCTATGGCATCTTGTGAACACCATTTATCCTAAAACAATAAAATTATGTTAAGAAATATGAATTTTTTGCAGTGTTCCTGTGTCCTTTGACATGAGAATAAAATGAACAAAAATTGAGACGATACCTACACTTAATGTTCAGAATCCGTACCAGCCAAGATACCATTTTGTTCGTTGGTACGGTAATTACTAGTACTGTTGAGTTTTCGGATACCATTTCAAATTTATCGCCACATGTATTATATATGTATTTAAAAAAAAATGCTACCTAACACTGAATAACTTTTGGATAACATAAACATTTATCAAATACAAATATATATGCAAAAAGAGGCTTCAAAACATCTAATAATAAATTCCAAATACCTCAAAAGGACTAAAACACGTACCATCTCCATATATATGTTTTAAAAGAAAATATTCTTTCCTATTATGTTATTAGTATATATATGTTGTAAATGGGACCTAATTAGATTATATACAAACGTGTAAATTGCTATCTGAAACATCGAGGCTTTGTTTGGTTTCAATTTCATAATCAGATTTTTGAAAACATAGAAATTAGTTTGACAAAAATAAATACCAAAAAGATGTTTTAATATTTTAAATTATTTTTGCCCTCAAAATGTAGAACCATATGAAAATGATGAGTGTTTATTTAATTATTATTATTATTTCACTAAAATAGTTTTTAGTTTTGTCAATTTTTTTTAGAAAACAAATTCTAAAAACCAAACAAAGCCCGAATTTTCGAGATACCGGCTGAAAACTTCCAGTATGGCCGAAACTCGCCGATTTTGTCCAAGAGAGGTGTGACGAAATTACACTGCTTTTATACCGGTTTCTTTGCAAAATGGTATATACTGGTTGGTATGGAACGGTATCAAAACCTTGCTTGCAGTCGACACTTGTATATGCAACATAGGTGGAGGGAAAGATATATATATATATATATATATGTTTATGTATGTAAGTTATTTATAGAATGGCTTGGTCTCTTTTAGAATGTCTTGACCTCAAAGCAATTTTTATGAATGAATATAATTTATTAAAAAGATTCATGCAAACAAATATAACCTATCAAATAATTTCTTACTATAAGTTGTTTTTGTTTTTAATTTATTGTCATGTCCTCCTAGTTACATAAAAAAAAAAGGCAACGCAGTGCACAAGATTCCTATTAAAGTGAGGTATGGGGAGGGCAAGATGTCTGCATCCTTACTTATATTTTCCAATTGCATCTTTCCTTATTTTTTGAAATCTTTCTTGTGTTAGTGTTTGTATTCTATAATATTTGTTTCATAAATATTCTCCCTATATAGCGGTAAAGAAGATTTGGAATTAGACTAGCCGTAGTAGCAATAATGGTGCAATAAGAGAGTCAAAGTGTTTCAGTTGATGTTAGCTACCCTAGAAGCTCTTGTAGTTATCATAGATCCACTACATTTATTTATTTATTATTTTTACATGATTGAACGAGTGACTTGTAATTTAGTTTTGTGAAATTACTTGCCTTTATTGGAGATGGTCTACTAGAAGCACTCTATGTTCCTCAAATTTCCTCTCCCCATAAAACTAGTTACACCACTGGAATTTCTGTCTTCCTAAATCTCCCTCTTCCTAAAAAACTAGTCATACCACCATATTATGATAGATTATTTTTAAACAACAAGTTTTCTTACTTATTATAACAACTTTTTAATGTGCCTGTTTGGCAGAGCTTAATTACAGCTTATTTCAGCTTTCAGCTTAATTTAAGCTATTTTAATGTGTTTAGTTTAGCTTATAACTTATAGCTTATAGCTTTTTGGAATTCAGAAATCAGCTTATTCTTTGAGTGGGGCAGGAGATGCTTTAAGAATAAGCTGGAAATCAGCTTAAGCTGAAAGTTATAAGTTATAAGCTGTTGAGGCATAAGCTATAAGCACTTTCCCACAGCTCTACCAAACAGGGCCAATGAAGTTCTCCGCAGGTGAGCTCCCAACCATTTGGGTTTAAGTAGCACAAATAGGGAACAATATGGGTATGCCGTAGGTCACCCATTCATGGAGCGGGAGCGGGAGAGTGAGAGCGAGAACATCCTTTGTGAAAATATCTTGAGAGAAGGAGCATCTTCAGAACGTTTATATTTTTATTTTAAGATACACATTTACATAAATATATAAAATAATTATACTTGGTATTGACAAAGAAAAATATAATACATATAAAATGGGTACAATCCTCTATGGCTTACACCAATTATAATGGTGATGACTTGGGCTAATAATCTTGAGGTTATGGGTTCAAATCTTGGGACCATCACTTTGTGTATTATGCCAAAGATTAGGTGTGTACTCAATCTTTCCCCTTCGAAACACACGTTAATGTGTACTAATTGGGTGTTGTTTTTTATCTTTTGATTCAGTGCGCAGGGATTGTTGTAATCCAATGTCTATAGTAGCTTTCCTTCAATTTCTCACTTCTTGGTAGATTTTGACAGTGTCCTTATGGGACTTGCACCTTTTAGTTGAACCAATTGCTTGACCCAACTTGCCAAAACGGGTGGACACTTTTTGTTGGCATGACCCATATTGTAAAATGGGTTAAGCCCCATAATTTTAGTGGGACCCACATCTCTTTGAAGGCTTCAACCATCTTG